CCTCTGGGGGGCATCTCTTCTGAGGGGAAGCAGGCTGTGGTTCCCAGCCTGGCCTCTCTTTGGGAGGGCCCACTCTTTGGGGGGGAGGCCCCTCTTGTTTGGAGGCTGGACTGCATTGCCCGGCCCTGGGGTTGGTCCTGAGGGCCGGGCAGTATATATTGCCTTCAAAATAATTTTCATTTATAACTTTTGGCAAGATGATAATAAAGGCTACATCTAGACTGCATGCCTTTTTCAACAGAGGCTTTTTTGACAGTATCTTTCAAAAAAGCTTCTGTCGGAAAAGAGCATCTAGACAACAAGAAGATTTTTCGGAAAAGCGTCTCACTTTTTTGAAAGAGAGTGTAGACGCTCTCTTTCAAAAAAGCCCTGATTTCATGCAATAGCATCTTTTTTTGAAAGATGACTTTCGGAAAAAGACATTATTCCTCATAGAATGAGGTTTACTGCTGTCGACAAAACTGCTTCATTCTGTCAACTTACTGTAGTGTAGATGCAGGTATAGTTTTTTTTGACAAAAGCCAACTTTTGTCGAAAAAACTCTGTAGTCTAGACACACCCAAAGAGACCAATTTAATGAAGGGATACTGTTCATGGCGAGGAAAAAGAACTTACAAAGCAATATTCTTTCCCTTCTTGACATACAACATCTCTTTCCTCTCCACTCATGCACCAAAGCCTTGTTCTTCTCCCAGCTTTACTATAGCAATGTTCTCCCCCTCCCACCTCATTCCTTCCCTTCCCCACTGGCCCATCTCCTACAGTCACTGTCATTAATCATGTCATCTCTGTCATTCACTGCATGGGATTCCCATCAACTTCTGCATCAGGTTTTAGCTCTTTCCCATCTCCATAGTCAATGCTCTGGCCTACACCCCCAGCCTTATGACTTACTAATCTTCCTCAAGCCACTTTCTTCATTGTACCCACACCTCACATATGACCAGGACTCTTGTCTCTTCCCTCTCTTAACTCTGTGCTTCTTCCCACTAAGCTTTGAATGTTCTCCTCATGCCGTTCCTGGGATAAGCTCCGCCCTTCTGACATTCAAATGCCTCTTCAGAATGTCCTTCTCCTATAAACCTGGGAAGAAGTGCACAAAGGAATCCTTTTATAAGTCACCCCAACAAACGCTACTGGCCCTACCAAACCCACAAAGCATTCTGGGTGCAGCACAATCTACCAAATAGAGCCCCACCTTGACCCTCAGAAAGTCAGTTCCCATTTTTGCCACTGGTTGCCCTGAGTAAAGCATTTCCATCCTGGGTTCTCAGTCTCCCAAACCTGTGAAATGCATATAATGAGGCTGCCCCCCTTTGTAGAATGCCTTAAGATCTAACAATGGAAAATACTATCTACAAGCTTCAGAAAGGTTGCCGTGTTAGGCTGTTTCAGCAAAAATGAGGAGTCCTAAATAAATTTGTTAATCTTCAATGCACCAAAGAACCTCTTGTTTTTATTGAAAAACTGGGTGTTATGTTTCTAATAACTAATTACTTAGACAGAGCACTCCTATAACAAAACCAACCAGCGGCAACCCCTTTTTCTGCTGGAATGTTATGATTTGTTAGCCACAAAAGAGGCTAACAATTGTAGCACACTTTTGCCCCTCAGTTCCATGGTTGGTGGGGTGTCTTCATACAGTCTGGATTTAGTCTTTGCATATAACACTGTCTTGTTTACTCCACATACACATAGATTCAATGCATTTGTAGTCATTTCAGGGCTTCAGATCATTGTTTTTTATTTACTGGTCTTGATCAATTTTTTAGGTCCCAGTCATGCAAAGAGATGCAGCATTGTAGCCTAGGGGTGGGGGAACCTTCGCTGGGTCAGGGTCTGCTGACCCACAGAAAAATCAATGGGGGCCTCACAAAAGTGAGAAGCAAAAAACCTAAAAAACCTCATTGACATGGTCCCCAGCTGAGAAATAGAAAGGTACGCCCCACATTCCCCACAAACACCAGAGCCTAAGGAGGCCCAGGATAGTAACTGTATGGGCCCCCGAGGCTCTGGGATGGGGCCAATAATATGGGGTTCAGTGTGTGGAAAGGAGCTGCTGGGAAAAGTGCGTGGGGCAAGGGGTCTGGGTCTTCTGACCATTCCCAGTGAATCCCCTCCTAACTTTTTGCTGATTTGATAGCCACTTTATGAGCCTTTCAAATTAAACAAGTCTTTACAATTAGCTCCTTATCAAGTATCTCAGCCTTTCCAGGGCTGGGTTGAAATAGTAATATTAAGTATCTGATTAATTGCTGGGAATGATTTATTCCAAGTGCTGTACTGGCAACCTCACTGTAAATAGACTGGAACCCAATGTGTTCAAAGATACATTTCCAGAAATTGAGCTCATCTTCGGTGTCAGTTCTAACTTCCCAAGGCCTTCTGAACTATCTCTAGGTTATTTACAGTAAAGTCTGAATAACAGTGTGTTGCAATTCTCTATTAAAGTAACATGAAAATCATTTTAGAATATTTCACATTTAATGGAACAGTGTTGAAAATTTGGTAGGGAAATTTAAGTGTGTTACTTCATTAAGTTACATAGATGACATGGTTAATTCATCATAGAGCTTTCTGGATATTTATCCCATTTGGCCAGATTTTTCAGTGGTCTTCACTAAAATGATACACACAATGTCTGTGTGCATCCAGCTCCATCTCACCACAGCAACATTGGGCCAGGTGAGAAGAACCTCTCCATGGCCGCTGCAGTGGGTACAGCTGGGAGAGATGTGCAAGTCCCCCGGCTGGGGGAAAGACAGACACACAGACAAACAGACACATAAATAGAAAACTCTCTGAAATACATAGTAGATAGCTATCCCTTTCTCCACCCTTGCCCCCTACTGGCCCAGAGGAGTTATAGCTACCCTGGTCCTCATCTCTGGCTCCTTGCTGCCCCCCCACTTCCCGTGGCCATTCTACAGTAGAACAGTCCCTCCTACCAGACCCCTCCCTTTCCATTTTATGAGAAAAAAATCAAATTCCAGGCACATCCCATTGTCCTGGCACAACCAAAACCTGGCCTTGCTTTAAGTTATGATAAGAGGAAGCTACATACCGAATGTGGTGTGCTCTTACCATTTGGAGAACTTCTTGAACAAACAGACAGAAAGATACACAGTTCTAATATATATATATATTTGAGAGACAGATACTGAGAGGATGTATTAGAGCAGATCAAAAATGTTTTATTTTCGGCAAAAGATCAAATATTGAAAAAATGTTGGCTAAAAAGCAACAACTGGTTTTTCAGACATTCTGTTTTAGTTAATTTAGTTAAGAAAGAAAGAAAGAAAGAAAGAAAGAACCGTTCAAGCAGTTTTGATGGAAAAAATTCCAGTCAGTTCTAATCCCGATGGAAACGTAGCCTTCTATGGTGAAAATTATCCCATTGTGTAGAACACTTTTGATGGTGAGGGAGGAATAATCCTTTGGGAATTTCCCTTTTCTCTCACTTTTCCCCCCTTTCCACTCATTGCACACCCACTAGACCAATTGGCTGGCTCATGGTGTACTTTTCTGAGAAAATATTTAACATCAGTACATGAAGGGTCACTTTGTTCTTGCCATTTTTGTCATTTTGTTAGATCTCATTTGTCCAGAGTCAAGCAAAACTATGAGAAAAATACTTGATAACTCAGGACACCTAATTTTGAAACTTTGCAGCATATAGATTAAATGGTTTTAATTGCACCTAAATCCTAACCCAGTAGTTCCTGGTTTTTAATTTACTAAAGTAAAGTTTCCTGGCTATTAATTGACCAAAGAGGAGTAAATTCCATTTTTCCTGTTTCTCCATACAAAAAAAGTTTAGGTTTAAGTAGGGGCTCTATCCTACAAATCTGTATTCACATAAGTATTCCTTATGCAAGGGCATTAAAAGCTGGTCCATAAGAGACATCCAGGAAAATTAATCAAATAAACTAAGGGTGTGAATTTGAAGTGGATTACTTAAACTGAATTAAACCTCTGTGTGAACATTGTCACTGACAATTAAGGCCACTTTATTTCTGATTGAGAGTGTTCATATAGGGCTTTAATGCAGTATAACTAATTCATTTTCCTGGATGTCCCTGTGTAGATAAATCCTAAATAGTGACTAGTCCCATTGGTTTCATGTATGGAATATCAGACTCAATGGGGCTATTCATGTGGGTTAAAGTCTACTTGTATGAGTAAAAGTTGGCAAGATTAGGCCTTAGCTGTTCAACTTTCCCCAGGATACATATATTAGGCATCTCAGTCCATATTTAGAAGGCCAGATCCTCAACTGGTGTGCATAGTATAGCTGTGTTGAACTCAATAGAGCTACTCCTATTTACATCAGTTGGCATGCTGGACCACAGTCATTTTCTCTTGCATTCAAAACCACATTATGAACCCTTTACTCATGTTGAGAATATGTTGTTGTATAAAAAACAAGAGGCAGTGTGGTCTAGTGGATAGCACAAGGGATTGAGCCTGAGGAGAGTTGTGTTTTGATCCCTGTTTTGCTGCTGGTTTATTGAATGGCCTGGGCAGATCTTTATGCCTCAGTTTTCCCATCTGCAAAATGAGAACAACGACACTGACTTTAAGATCTATTCACAAAAACACGGTACAAGAGCTAGGTATTGTTGCCATTATATTGCGACGGGGGTGAGTATCTGCTCACCAGCATAGGAAGTTCAGACTATTGCCCTAACTCCACACATGCCATACCTGGAATTTTGTATTAATTCATTTAAAAATATTAAGACTACAAAAAACCCACCTTAAAAGTATTATCAATTATTATTGCCAGTAACATAAAATCCCTGTTACTGATGTTTCTTTCAAAAGAAACAATTAAAAGACAAAGCAATTGGACCTAGAATAAATGCATAATTTGTACTTTTTGTCAGTAACCTTTCCCCTTTGTCTCTTAAAAAATAAACGGGGACATTCCTATGCTCTAGTTGTACTGTGCCTTTAAGGTTTGGGGGAATGATGTCACAGTGGGCTTTGGAGGCACTTTGAGACAGCCTGTGAGAGAGGTTACCATCAGAGCTGTTGCAGTTTTAAGACTGCTAAAATATATAAAAGAAACAAACTCTTACTACAATCACTTTGGGACACGTGATGGTGTTGGAGTCACTTTTCTACATAACGAAGTGCAAGAGACACATTCAATCAGCCCTCAACAGCCCACACAGAAGAAACTGTATGTGAATTGCAAAGGATTTGAATAGGAATTGTCCAGCAGTTTTAAAACATGGGCAGTTTTCAATTAGAAGACTTTGTAGCTGGTTGGATAGGAGGTAAGTAACACTTGTAGGATATTTTGGGACAATATCAATAGAATGATGTAAAGATAGGTAAGTGAATGCCCATTTTTAAAAATTAAATATGATATTGATGGATGCATTTATCAAGGTGTGTGCATTTATTCATGCTTCTGTTTGTATGTGAAGCTTTCTATCTTTGTTCAGAGAGGATAGTTTCAATTAAGCAGTAATAGAACATTACACAGTTTTATCTGTTTGCTCTCAGACTACCAATATGCAATGAGATGTAGAATGTCACATTATGGTGTCAACTGTACATTACACATTCCTGAAGTAAGTGCATGACCTACAAGACTGAATGCCTCTAGCTGAGAAATCTGTAAAATGATATTGTAACCCAGCACAGAAGATTATGGTTTTATAAAGGCGTTCTAGTGTTTCCCAATGAGTTCAGATCCCTGTGCATACAACCTCATATTTAAACAGCTGGGAATCCTCCTCCACCAATCAGATGGCTCTATTAATCCACACCCTTTTATGAAAGGCACAGATCTGGTTCTGAGTGGGTAGCCCTGATAAGGATATGAGATTATTATCAGGACAGCTTTCACTATCAGATAAGAATTATTGATCAGGTAGTTTTCTGAAAGTATTGATTCTGGCCTTCTGTATTAGAAAGTGAAGGAAGAAGGGCCTACAGATATATCTTTAACATATTGGCTACGTCTAGACTGGCCCCTAATTCCGGAAGAGGCATGCAAAGCAGGTAAGTCAGAATAGGGAAATCCGCGGGGGATTTAAATATCCCCCGCGGGATTTAAATAAACATGTCCGCCGCTTTTTTTCCGGCTTGGGGAAAAGCCGAAAAAAAGCATCTAGACTGGCGCAATCTCCGGAATAAAGCCCTTTTCTGAAGGATCTCTTATTCCTACCTGAAAGTAGCCAGTCTAGACGCTTTTTTCTGGCTTTTCCCCAAGCCGGAAAAAAAGCGGCGGACATGTTTATTTAAATCGCGCGGGGGATATTTAAATCCCCCGCGGATTTCCCTATTCTGACTTACCTGCTTTGCATGCCTCTTCTGGAATTAGGGGCCAGTCTAGACGTAGCCATAGAGAGCTCCTTTTATCTAGAAAGATCCCAAAGTGCACCACCCAAAAACAGCTATCATTGAGTTGGAAGACAGCTGGCAGGTGGACAACGTAACAGGACAGAGAAGGACATTTTGGCTTAGAGGAGGTAGCTACTGTAAAAAGTGCTACTGTGTTGGATTTTTAATCTCCACATTGGGCTCATGAGGCTTTTGTATTAGTGCTACACAGGAGTGTGGGATAACTAAAGAGTGCTGACCCATATTTCCAAGGCTAGGTCAATGTCCTCATTTACTCAGGAAAAAAAGAATCTTTGCCAAATTGCCATGAGAAAGGGTGAGGGTTGACTTCTAACACCTGAGGCCGACCTGTCGATGGTGACTTATTTTGGCTAATTTGACCATGTCTGTTGCTGCAGGTGCATAGATATATAGGGCAGGATAACTGTCTGAGCAAATAGCCATAGGGATATGATTTGCCTGTTTCATGTGCAGTTTTCATGCACAATTATACTAAATATTCATTAAAACAAGGTCCTGAGTTAAGGATCTGGGGCAGTTTTAAAAACGTTCTTATTCTCTACCCCCGTTTTGCTTCCTTTGTCCTATTTCTTGCTCTCCCTTGGAGCAGGCCATCATGGATACGCTACTCATGGGCATTGTAGGGCAGTGGCTGGGGTGGACAAGGAAGAGAAGAACTTACTTTCCACAACTGAGTAACATGGTAATATTCCCATTATTAACAGAGATGCCCATTAACTGTGAAGCTATTTTGGAAGAATCAGGGCCTGCAGCAGAATTAGTCTGCAGGCACCCTCCTAAGTACAGTAGGCCTATAGCAGGCTGCCTGATTGGCCTTGCCACCATTGGCCATGCCACCTGATTGGCTGCTGGGGCCAGGAAACCTGCACTTAAACCAGAAGCTGCAACTCACTAGCTGCTCAGTGGACATCACCCTGCCTGCTGCTATGTTACCTTGTTCCTGATGCTCCTGCCTTGCACCCAGCCTGGGCTTTGGCCTGCCCCTGCTTTGGACCCTTCCTTGCCCTGGTTCCCGACCCCCAACTTAACCCGTGGCTTTTGTGTCTCACTCTGGCTTGACCCTCGGCTCTTGTGTCCAATTCCTAGCTCTGCTTTGAGTCTTGCCTCTGTTTTCTGATTACTGCTTGACCCTCAGTTCTGGCTTCCAGGCCTGCCTACCAGTTTGAGCCGCCTAGCTCTGCTTTGAGTCTTGCCTCTGGTTTCTGATTACAGCTTGACCCTCAGTTCTGGTTTCCAGGCCTGCCTACCAGTTTGAGCCATGGCTCTGCCTCCTGACTACCATGTCCAGCTTGATCCTCAGCTCCAGCATCCCTCACCTTCAGATTGACTCTTGGCTCCAGCTTCCAAAATACTAGCTCCAGTTCTGAGCCTGTGTAACCCACACACCTAGTGGATGTAGTTCACAGTCCCATGTAGCGGGACTTAGACCACTTACAGCAAGAGATAAGAATGAGTGAAGTTGCACCTGATCATTTGCTACTGGTGTCTACTCTGGCTGTTAGGCCTTACAGCTGCTCCAGACATGTGACCTGACACCCGTTCTGATCACTAAACTAGACCATCCTTGTTCCAGTCAGCCAACACCATTGAATGACAGGGATTTTCACACGCAGCCTCAATTACACATGCATAAAGTCTGGTTCAGTGAAAATAGGTATTTCCATGTGGAATAGTGCATCGGTTGAGTAGAAAAAAAATCTGTCCTCCAAGTTGCAGTGTGTTCATAGGGTAGCTGCACAGCACCACCACATGTGCTCTTCCAGTCCCTGTTCTGCAATATCATCTGTAAATCATGCACAGTTTCCTTCATATCAAGTGACCTCACCACTGCTACCTCTTTGGGGTATGTCTACACTGCAGAGTTTTCCAGAAAAACAGCCATTTTTCTGGAAAAACAATACTTACATCCACTCTGCTATTGCGTTCTTTCAACAGAAAGTTGAAAGAACAGAGGGGTTTCCCGACGGCGATAAACCTCATTCTATGAGGAAGAAACCTTTTTCTGAAAAAGCTTCTTCGGAAAAAGGTGTGTGTGGACATGGAAGAGAGTGTTTTTTCAAAAGAAGAGGCCTCCAGAAAAAAACACAGGTGCCCTGGCGGCCACTCTGTCCACAATAATTACCACTTAAATGTGAGATAGCATCCAGACTGATTGGACGCTATCTTTTGAAAAAGCAGATCGTTTTTTTGTTGCGCTTTTGCTGTGTAGACGCTCTCTTCCGAAAGAAGATTTCCGGAAGATCTCTTCCAGAAAAGCTTCTTCTGAAAGAAGCCTGCAGTCTAGACATAGCCTGGGTTAGTTTTTGTGAATCTGGCAGAGAAATTGGCTCCATCTTGCAAAGGGAATGTATAGTCTTGCTGGGCAACTGTTCCATAACTAATATCCTTGCTTCAAGATGTGCCCTCAATTTGCATGGTTCTACTGACGAATGAATTTTCATCAAGTAGGTAATACTCAGAGTGATGGGGAGTACTCTGATTGGTCAAGGGGAGTACATATGCAACAGAGCACAGATTTGAGTTTCATCGAGTAAATGTTCCTTTTAGTTGATTCACTGAAATGCGTTTTGTCTGATTACCTTATTTTAATCCCCAGGAGCTGCAAGTGTAATTGTGGGGCATCCTCTGGACACCGTAAAGGTAAAATATTTTAAGCCACACTTGCACTTACACAGATAGTGAAATTTCTTACAATGCAGGGCAGCCCATAGGCTATCTACCTGCCCAGATACAAATATATCCACTTTTAGTGATATTTCTCTTTGTAGTTTTCTTTCTTTGGGTTCATCTACAATGCACCATTATTTCGAGATAACTAGTGTTATTTTGAAATAAGAATGTGAGCATCTACACAGCCTTGCTCTTATTTCAAAATATTTCCTGCTGGGGCCAGGAAACTTGCACTTAAACCAGCAGCCGCAACTCACTAGCTGCTCAGCGGACATCACCCTACCTGCTGCTATGTTACCTTGTTCCTGATGCTCCTGCCTTACACCCAGCCTGGGCCTTGGTCTGCCCCTGCTTTGGACCCTTCTTTGCACTGGTTCCTGACCCCTAACTTAACCCGTGTCTTTCGCTTCTCACTCTGGCTTATTCCGAATCTGTAAACCTCATTCTATGAGGAATAATGACTATTCTGAAATAGCTATTTTGAAATAAGGCATATGTAGACGCTCCACTGCTGCTATTTTGAAATAGACCCTCACCAGGGCCATTCTGTTATTCCTCCCCAGTGCCTCCTGGGGTTCTAAACTGAAATAGCGCGTCTACATTAAGGAAGCCTGCCTCGGACCAATTGTAAGGCTTCCCTGCAGTGTAGACGTGCTATTTCAAAATAAGCTATTTTGGAATAACTATTCCGGAATAGCTTATTTCAAAAGTCTCAGCTTGACAGGGCCCTGATAGGGCAGAGGGCTGGACTTGATGACCTCCTCAGGTCTCTTCCAGCTCTATGGGTGTGTCTAGACTACATGGCTCCATTGACAGAGCCACGTAGATGAGACTCTGTCGACGGAGCCATGTAGATCCTCGAGGCTTACAGGATCTGCCGACGAAGGGTTCTGGGGTCAGCAGATCCCTGTCTAGACTGCCGCACTGTGCCGACAAACAGCTGATCGGCACAGCGCGGCGGCCATTTTGATTTGAATGACGTGGCGATTTAAATAATTGCCGCTTCATTTCCCTTTGTCGAGTAAACTAATCTACATGGCTCCATCGACAGAGCCATGTAGTTTAGACGTACCCTATGATTCTAAAATAGCCGTGCAATGTAGACGTACCCTTAGTCTCAACTCTGATTTTAACACAGAAAAATTATTGCAAGGCCTTTCAAAAGGAAAGTATGAAAATATGATTATAAGATGAAATCCCTGCAAGGGATCAAAACTGAAAGTGAAACTTCCCATTATATAATGTAAAGCAAACTGAAAACATCAGCACATACTTTATCGACTTGTGCAATGGTCGAGTTCATGAAGAGCAAAAGGCAAGTTGAATTTGGCTTTGCTGAAGAGGTACTTTTAAAAGGTTTTCCTCAGGTTGGTAATACTGTAAGGACAGAGTCCAAATTTAGCTATCCCACTGCTAGGAACTTCAGTTATTCAATAGCCATTCCTGTCATCCTATTTCCTAGAAAGGAAATCGAGTGTTGTTGTTTTTTTCTCATTAGGATTTACATGTGTGGTGTTAAGAGGTTCTAATGCTGTAGTGTAGAGAAGGCAGCAGAATCTTTAACATGGACAAAGCATTGGGAAATGTCAGTATTTTGTTATAGTCACTGAAGCTTTAGAGGAACACCCCAATCCCTCTCCTGCTCCATTGTACATCCCCTTCCATGAGTGTACTACAGAGATAATCACCTGATACTGCTGCTAGCTAGTAGATTTACTCCTTTAACCCAAGTGGAAGAAGCCTGTGTTGTAGGCCAGGATTCCAACCCTGACCTTAGGGAGGTCATTATACTTGTATATGAGTGTGTAACGTCTCACACATGGCTTATTCAGGCGATGTCTTTATTTACATTTCCCAGCCGGCTCCCCTTTGCGGTTCCCCGAGTCCTGTCCGCTCTCAAGTCCCACTTTTACACTAGCGTTGCGTCCGCAGGCGCCTTCTGGTAGCCCCAGGTATAGGGGGGAAGGGAGGGTCCAGGCCCGCCCTCTCTCACAGACTCCAGCCCAGGGCCCTAAGGACACAAACTCCCTCGGGTCCGGTCTGGCTGGAGGGGCTTCCCGCCATAACACGCCAGCCCGCGGGCAGCTGAGAGCCCTGCCCTGGGCTGCTTCCTTCCCTCCCTTACCTAAACCGGTCTTTCCCCGGCATCCCGGATGTTCACCATGTCCCCACATGGACCTGATGGTCCTATAGTTCCTCGCGGCGACTCTCTCTCTCTCTTCGAGACACCGTGGGTCCTCTCTTCCCCCTCTGTCACTGAAGGGTTGCCTCACAGCCCGTCGCTCTCCTCCCCTTGGAGAGGCTAGGAGCCCTTTTTAACTTTGGCACCAGGGTGTTACGTCACACTGCGTCACTCTCCTCTGGCTTCTCCTCCTCCCCTCCCTATAGCTGCGGAGCACGCCGGGCAAGCCGTTCTGCGGCCGCTTGGGACCCCGGCTTCGGCCCACGCTGTGAAGCGGGGAGAGTGCGGGTGCCGAGCTACATCCCCGGCTGCCCGGAGCCGCATGGCGCTGGCTCCTTCCCAACTGCCCCGTGCCCCGTACAGGACCTCAGCGGGCGGCGGTTCAGTGCGGGGCAGCCATGCCCCGTCACAGAGTGCAATGCCCAATAGCCAGTACAAATACCATGGTTCTGCAGTAGGGATGGTCAGGCCACAAAGATTCTGAACCACATTTGCCAATTGTTCCCTAGTGGCTTTCTCCACAACTGCATGGGAGAGTTGTGCATGGGCAAGGGTGGGTTGTGTTGGGTACATCCCAAATGAACTGCATTCATCAGACACTTATGGAGGGCCATTATAATGGCTGTTGTATCTTGGGGAATTCTGCACCATTGCGCTTGTGCAGAATTTATGCCACCCACAGATTTCTTTGCTTCCATGCAGAAAAATGGTTTTCTGACAGGGAAGCAAAGGGAAGCTAAAGAATGGTCATGGGCCCTCCCTAGCAGTTTTAGGGAGAGAGAACTGGCAGGGAGGAGTGGCGCAGACGCAGCTGGTGGCTCCTCCCCTCCACCAGGCTCAGCTGCTAGTCCAGTTTGGGCAGGGGAGGATGGGACTTTCTCTTCCCTTGCACAAAATTCCTTGTGCAAAATCCATGGCAGAGTCAGACCCACCATGGGTTTGCTCCCCATTGCAAGAAGATTGCTCCCCATTGCAAGAAGTCGTATACTTACCGTCTCCCCTCTGCACCCATCACTCCTCAGCTGCATGGGAAAGGATCCCTATACAAGTCACTGCTCTCCCTTCTATCCAACACCCATACATCCAGACCCCCTCATGCCTGGAGCCTCCTGATGAGCCTCATTCCCATACTCAGACCGCTGGTTAATGAGCCCCACTCCCCTTGCATCTGGACTGCCATGACAAGCCATCAACAACTAGATCCCCACCTCACTGAGCCCCACTGCGCCCCACATCTGGACCCCCTCTGATCCCACACACACTCAGATGCTCCTGCTGAGCTCTGTACTGCCCACCTCCATATCCCCACACTGAACCTCAGATACCTTCACTAGTACCCCTCTTGCAGAGTCCTATTACCATTGCACCCAGAATCCCCCAACCAGCCCATGTGCATCCAGATCCCATTGCACCCAAACCCAGATATACCCACACAGATACATGGATCCTGCCTTGCTGAGCCAACCTGCTCACACCTGGTGCACTTGGGATAAGAGGGCAGAGCTCTGGGATATTTCTGGGGCAGGCCCAGTTCTTGCTCTGTGTCAGCATGGGGTGCAACCTCACTGCTGAGTCTATGTCCTGAGGGGGCAGCTGCATCGTGATCTCCCACTCTATGCAGCCAGTGGTCTGTGCTCCTCACTTGCAAGCTGGAGCCCTCATATTTGAGGAATAAAATTTGCTGAATTGTGCAGAATGTTAAAATTTCGTGCCCAGTGTTTTCAATTGTTTGGTGCAGAATGGCCTCAGGGGTTCTGCAGGAGCTCAAGGAGCTGCAGAATAGTTGCAGAGGTGCACCATTGCCTGGGAGAAGGTTATGTCTCATGTGGGGATGGGAATAGTGGCTCTCAGAGCTCTGAGAAAAGTGTAGACCAGAGTAGACCATGCTATACCCTTTCTACCAGTCAAAGCAGATTCTGCCTCTCTCACAGGGTGAGCTCTGCTGACTGCTATGGGAAGTGGGGTGAGGGGCCATCCTTTCCAGGCAGTTAATGCTGATGTTGCTATTACCCAAAGGCAGTCACAGTGCTGGGTAATAATAAGAATCTAACCCTTATACATAGGCACAAAAGGGCTTCTTGCATCATCTTCCCAGCCCCTGCAAACCTGCACAGGGACCTCTGCCACATACGGCTACATGATGGCACATGTTGTTATACTTCCTTGCTCTTTTCAAAGCCAGTTAAGAGATTTGGTTGCCAAGTTGCAATTAAAAAAGAACAGGAATGAGGCCTTGAAAATCCCATCTTATAGTCCTTGTGCTCTTGCTTCAGGAGAGCTGATATTGTATTTAAGAAGCTAGAGACCATCAGACTAAGGATCATTGTTGCTTGAGGTACTTGAGTTTCTGTGTAGCAGACAGCAGGGAAGCATGGTGCTGGCTACTGAAATACGTCACTGCTGGCAGAAGCAGTGCCAATGCCTTAACAAACGGCCCTGAGAAGTCAATGTTCAGTGCTGAGTACATACAATGGATGTTACTGGGAGCGTGTTTGTTCAGGAACTGCCAAGTAACTAGTAGAGTGTCTTTCAGTGCTTCTAAAGACAACTGTCCAGCTGACGCCTCTATTGCATTTGGTTCTGGATGTCATATGGGAATACCAAGCAGGCTGCTCTGTCACTTTTCCAAACTGGAGGAGCAAGAAACCTAACCAATATTGAGCTAGAAAGTGAGCAACTGAATAGGGTTCACCAATGAACACAGCACTTAGTGGAATAAGGAATGGAGGTTTCTTCTTTATCTGAGATGAGAAACATGGGCAAACACTTGCAGTATTTCCTGTATATT